AGGGGGGATGAGTAGTGGAAAGGAACACACCACCAGGTGGCGCAGCGGGCAAAGACACGAGAGCCCCGCCACGCAGTCTGTGGGTCAGCTCCCCTGACCGGGCTTGAACCCAGGCCGCACAGTTACAAGCGCTGAGCTTAACCCCTAGGCCAACAAGGGAGACCACAAGGCAGAGCCTCACAACCCACTGATCAGCCACCCACTGATCAGGTCTGAGTTGAGGCCCACCCACGGCCCGCTCACACACTGCCGCCTACTGGAGAAGCCCTGTCATGTCTGGGCCCAGCCTTCTCCCCAGGAAAGCCCAAAGGGGTTTCCCTCCTTTGTGGCTGGCAAGAATGCAGAATATACAGTTAGTTTGGAAAATGAGCTGCACCTCAAAGTGACTCTGCGGCCCGCCCCCCCCCACGTGTTTTCACCAGCTTGTTTTCTAAGCTAATGTACTGTAATAGTTAATGTACTGTAATATTAATGTACTGTAATAAAAGTGACATGAATGTGATCTCATGCTTAAAACAGTGTATGTAAAATTTGGGTTGAAATGGCAGAGAAGGGGGGCTGGACTATTAGTCTCATAAAACAGCTCCCCCAGTACAGGCCATGGAAGGGGCGGACCCTAAAAACACAGGCCCATCACCTGGAGGTAGCTGCCATCACTCACTACACCCTGACGCTCCCTGACGCTCCCAGGCTGGGCGTCGGCCACGGCCCCGCCTTGGGCTTGCACAGCTGCAGCCCGTCTGGCTCTGAGCAGGAGGCCAGGGCTGCCCCTGAGCACAGCTGCGGCACCCACGGCTCACCCGCCACCCAGCACCCAGCACCTACCGTGTGAGCGTTGTTGATCTTCTTGGCTTCCCACTGGCCCTCCCCGGTGTAGGTCAGCAGGGAGATGGCCCCGTCAGAGCTCCCACAGGCCAGGATCAGCCCGTAGTCATGGGGGGCCCAGCACACAGAGTTTACTGCAGGGAGGAGGAGGCTGAGTGAGCAGGGGTCCCCGCCCCCCAGAATTTCATACTTGGGAGTCTCCAGATTTACAGTTTTACCAAATTTCTAAATAAAATTGCAAGGGTCACCAGGGGAAAATTGTCATCAAAAAGATTAAAAACCCATCACCCACTAACATCAGCCCATAATCTGAGGTCTAGGGACAGTAATCCGAGACAAAAGACCAGTATTTGAAGAGAACAGACCTTAAAAAACACAACCTACTGTCCTGTTCCCCTCATGAGCTGTGGCCACCTCCAGGCAGACTAGCAAAAAGCCCCAGGGACAAATGAGAAGCATTCTCGGGGGGGGGGGCGCCCCCCAGCCAGGGCCACGCGTGGCCCTGGCCACGCTGGTTCTGCACGCCACGCACCTGAGGAGTCGTGGCCCGTGTGCTCGTGGGTCTTCTCCCATGTGCCGCTTTCCTCTTTCCAGATGACGACCTTGCGGTCGTAGGAGCAGGATGCCAGGATGTTGCCATACATGGGGTGGGCCCAGGCCACCTGCCACACCGGGCCCTCGTGCCTGCAAGGGGCCCCAGAGAGCCTCGGTCAGCTGCTGTTGGAGCGACATGGCCATCTCCCTTGGGAGGCCGAGACTGTCTCAGGGCAGCAGCCTAAGAATGTCAAGAGCCAAGAGCCCTTCACGGGCAGCGAGGACCAGAGGGCCATGGAGGCTTTGAAGGCAAATCAGGACTCTAAATTGGCCTCTGTCCCACCCTGCGCTTGTCCGGGGCTGCAGCCGCCACCCGTGGCCGCCGCCACCGCAGACACGTTCGCTTATCCGCCCGGGCTCTGTGCCAATGCCCTGGGCAGCGCGTGACTGCTCACCCGCAGGCGGCTGCCCTGGGGTGCCTCATCCGCCCTCACTGGCGCCTCTGCCCACTACTCTCTCCGTCTGCTCAGAGGCACGTCTCTGTCCTGGCCCGATGTGCATGCCCTGTGGCTGAGTTCTGGGCCCCGACTTCAGGCAGGGAGCACCCCTGCCCCTTCTGGGGCTCAGCACCTGGTGCTGCGCGAGCCGCCAGGCGGCTCACAGGTGACGGCTGCGAGGGAGACCAGGCGCTGCAGACCTCAGAGAGGGAACACGCCACGCCCGCTAGCAGGGTCACTGCTCCCACCTTCACCCAGGGCTGCAGACACTTAGTCTACGCGCTCCCTGTGGGGTCACACACAGTACACCCCCATGTCCTATAAAGGAGCAGTTCACGAAGCTGAACTTGACTGCCCACAACTGAGCCAAGAATTGAGGCAGTTTTTCTTCTCGCTGACGGTTCACATCCTCTGAGCACGAGAAGCGGCAGAGACCCAGCGACGGCCGGGCCTCCCCGCACTCTGGCGCCGCAGTCACTGGGTGGACACCGAAGAGGGCGCCTCAGGCCAGTCTCCTCGCATGGCTGCAGACCTGGGCCGTCCTTCAGCCAGTCAGCGGGACCCGGCCCCAAGCCACCGGGCTGCTCATCTCAGAAGGGACGAGACGCTGGCCAGGGCTGCAGAGGAAGCCCATGGACACTGAGGTGCGGTGACAAACTAAAGAACAAATCTCGACGGTAGGGCCGTGTGCGTCCGTGTCGGCGCAAGGCTACAGGTGTCAGGCCAGGTCTGAGCCCAAGTGCCCGTGCTGGCGACAGGTACGCCGTGCTGGCGACACCGTGACGTCACCGTGACGTCGGCAGTAGCCCAGTGACATGTGCTAAGAGCACGGCTGTGGCGTCTGGTCAATCCCCATCACGGAAGGGAATGCTGGATGTCAGGCTCCCCAAGAACACAGATGTGGGTCCCTGCCGCCGCTGACCTGTAGCCACAGAACCCTTGCAGAGGGTGGGCACCAGGCTAAGGCCCCCCATCTGTGTGACCGGAAGTGACTGGAGGGAAAGCAGCAGAGGTGTGGCCATAAAAACGCAGACCAGGGGCTCGAGACCCTCAGTGGGAGGAGGGCAGCAGACGTTTGAACGCACACACGCACTCCTTCCTGCGGAATGCCGGTCGCGCGACTGTCCTGCACTCACACTAAGGTTCCCGCAGGACTGTCCCTGGGCGACACCTGGGGTCACGCTAACTTGTGCCAAAACGGCAGTTTCCCATGTGGAAAAGGAACAGCCGCTACCGAGGCCGCTGCGGGCTGGCTCTGTCCGGGAGGGGGCCGCAGCCTGCTGAGGGGAGCGGAGTCTCACTCAAGCCCACGGTGGGCGCGCGGGGCAGCGCTGGGATTCACTGACCCCACTGCTCTTGTCACCGCATGAGCCAGCGTGTGTGCTGCAGGTGGGCGCCCCACTGGCCAGTCCGGACTGGGTGCTCAGCAGCCCAACCACCGCGAAGCCCTGCAGTGGCTGCACTCACCCCCTGAGGTCAGCGATGAGGATCTGTCCCCCGTTGCGCACGTCGAAGATTTTGACTGACCGGTCTGATGAGCAGGTTGCCAGGCGGGTGCCATAGTAGTCCATCTGGGCATCGTGCTGCAAAGGAGGACAGCTCAGGGAGCCTGCAGGCTGGGCGGGGGTGGGCAGCCTGCCCAGAATCTACCTGACGTGAATCTAACCACCAGGCAGGGAGCTAGCAGGCCGACGCCCTCACCTCTGATGGCCATGTCCTTCTGAAGGGCCAACACAAATATTCCCCGCTGCTCCTAAGCCCTTTCGGGGGTCCTTTTCAATCTGGCTGTATAGGCTGGTGAGTGGGGGAGGGTGGCCTGATGTCCTCCTCCCCCAGGTCCACTGTGCCCTGAGAATGGGCTGCTGGGGAAGGCGTGGGGAGGCTGAGCCCTGCCTAAGAACCCAGGGCAGAGGCTGACCCAAGCAGGTCTCCGCGCCTGCAGGCCACTCAGGTCCTCTGTGGGGCCACTGGCTGGGTGCAGGGTTCTGTTCAGACTCTCGGGCTCCTCCTTCCACCTGAGGTTCCCTGCGCACCTCCGACCCTGGCTAAGCTGGCCTTCTTCCTAAGAGTGCGCCCAGTACCGCAGACTCCACCAGCCCCTACGTGTCACTGGTCACACCCGACACACTGGGCCCTCCACGCCCCAGCCACAGTTCCGTCTCCCTGGGTGGCGGCCGAGGCGCTGTCTGCCACCCACGGAACCCCTGGTGCTTCCTGCCTGAGGACTGGCTCTCCCAGGCACCCCAGCGGCCCACAGCAAGGGTTCAGGTTTGGGACTGTCGGGGTGTCGTGCATTCCTCTTATTCACATTCCTCTCACCTTTCTCAAGGAAAATATCCTGATTCTTCTTTGACTTGACATCACTTGCCTCAATGATTTAAGGCTCTGGCTCTTGGGTAGGATAAGGAGCTCTTTGTAAGCCTACTTCCAGGCGCTCTACAGCGTGCTGGCCACCCTCGGGGAGAAGCAGGGCTCAGGCCTAGATTTGAATTCTGTCTCCTTAGTCTAGCTGCTGTGCAACCCTGGGAAAATTACCAGACCCCTCACAGCCTGGCTGAGAGTGGCATGTGCTCCAAGGGCGGTTTGAAGGTTAAACAAGATCATGGAAAGCACTTTGAAGGGGTCTGACGCTTAGCGGGCACGCAGGTGTCACGTCACTTCATCTGATCTCACAGCAAGCCCGCACACACAGGCAGCACATTCCTCATGCCCCCAACTGAGGCGCACGGGCTGCTCGGAAACAGGCCAGGGAGCCTGGGTTTGATCTTCGTAGCCCTGGTCTGTACCGTCTCCAGACTTGGGGTCTTAGGGCTTCTGGACCACCCACACTGCAGCCCAGGTGACCTCTCAGAAGCCCCAAAGCGACTGCTGATGGGGGCAGGAAGCCTGGTGAAGTGTAGCGAGTGGCCGACAGGGGTCTGGCTCAGAGGCTGCCGCCCGCCGCCCAGCAGGAAGCAGCCCTGCCGCTGCTGAGACTTTGACCTCTGGACCGCCTCCCGCGGCCCTGTCCTTTCACGCTGAGCCCTGTGCCTGCTTCTTGGGAAATGACTGTCTGCGTCTGCGGAGGGCCTACCAGCTCTGCCCTCGTATCGAGCTGTCCTACCCTCACTTTTTACCAGCTTCCGCAGGGGTTAAGTGGCAGCAGGCGGAAGACAGGCGGGAAGATGACCATCCGGCCTCCACACCCAGAGCCGGTCACTCTGCTGGCGAGAAGATGGAGGCCTTGAGCTCCAAACTGCCCCCAGGTTGCTCTGGCCACAGTGACCCGAATGCCACAGCCTGTCAGCCCAGAGGGCACTGTGGGACACTGACCACAACCCTGAGCCCACAGCCTGACTGAAAAGGCTGCAAAGCCACAATGGAATTGTGAATGATCCAGAGAAAGCAGTAAAGAAGCACCCAAACGCTCCCCTCCCTCTGACCAGGGCAGGCTAACATAGTACTTACAATCATGTCCTCGTGAGACGTGTCCACGGTGTTAATCACTGACACCTAGAACCAGAGAGGGCTGGTAAGTGCAATTCTCTCATTACATTCACCAAACGCTCCTGAAATTCTTGACCGCCCAACTGTTCATCAGACATTCACTCAAGTGCCCTTTTGTCAATGACCGTGCCCAGAACTAGAGATACGGGCACAAGAAAAGGCGGTTTTGGCCCTCGAGAAACCGGCACGAGTAACCCTGCCACGGCAAGGTGAGCACACTGGTGAGGCTTCCACGCGCCAGGGCGGCCTCGGGCCGGTGGTGGTGGCGTGGACTGGGCCTTCCACGAGGAGGGGTTTGCTAGGTGGCACAGGGAAGACAGGTCCAGTTGGTGTGGAGGAAACATGAGCAGCGAGGCAGGTGGCAAGCAGTCCTGACTATGAAGACAGACCTCCGGGAGCAGTGACCGGTCACACCCAGGGTGACAGCGACTTCCGTCCCCGTTTTTTACAGAATAGGGTTACGGGCTTGCAGAACTGATTCGGTGTCTCTGGAGGCTGCTGCTGGCCCACCACGGATGACAGCACCCTCGACTGTCGCCCAGACTGGGACACAGGGCTGAGCAGCCTGTGGACTGCTCGTCGCCTTCCTGCCCATTTTCAAGCTTGGCCCAGCTCAAGTTACCCCCTTTCTTGGGGACCCCCAGATCCTCCAACTGTCTGAACCCCCCTGAATATCTATACCACTTTACTTCTCCCCACTGGGCGGTGAGCTCCCCCGAGTCAGGCGTCCTTCAAGTCACCCAGCACAGCGCTTGAGCACCAGAAGGAGCCTGTTTGCTGAATGGGCAAGTGAACCCAGAGACGCGGCTCAACCTTATTCTCTAAACACTCGTGCTGGGAGAAGGACTGGAAGGAGGTTTCGTTTGCATGACTTCTCATTACCCCACCTCACCTTTCTCAGCACGAGCCCGGCAGGGATAAAGCCTGACCTTTCAAAAAAGGGGACTCCGAAGAGGGTGCTACCCGGGAGCTCAAAGGGTGCATCAGAAAGGATTCTAGACGAATCTGCAAAATCAAATGCTAGATGCCCTAAAGAGTGGGCCCCCAAAGCCTGCCAAGGCGAGTAAGGAAGGTTAAAAGTCTCCTGCTGTGCTGGCAAGGACAAAGAGCAGAGGTAACCAGCCACCTGACTCGGAGCAGAGGCAGTCCAGAGAAGTGCATTTGCCAAAGTCAGGCAAGCTCACGGTGCTTTCCACTTCAGGTGCTTTCCACTTCACCGGGACATACCGCGGGCGGCAGCCAGCTCCCGAGAGCACCGGGAGAGGGCTGGCAGGCAGGCCGGCGGATACTGCAGTTCCATACCAGGTCACCAAAAGGCCTCAGAGGCCCAGCTCGTTGTCAACTACTCCTCCCCACCAGCGGGGATGGACAAGCGTCCTTCTGGACAGCGTCTCCAAGACGCCTTCAGACGCTGCAAAACCCCTCTGAGCACCTCACCGGCCTGTTTCTTGTGTAGCAGGAAGTGGCCCCAACAATCCAGCCCTTCAGAATCAGCCGCCCCTCTGAAAACTCCTCTGGGAAAAAGCGAGCTCGGGACATGAAAGACCCCAGCTACTCAGCAGCTAGCGAGGCCAGAAGGAGCGGTGGGCCAGCGCCCGCCCGG